CACTGTAAAGCTGTTGGTATCCAAGTATTTTTAGAACTGAAGACCCCATTATTAGCTTACAACAGGGCAATGGGATGTTAACCCTTCAGTGTAACTCAAGCTTTGTCCTGACTACCAATTTTTAAGGTTTTCTTTGTTTTGTTTGGGTTTTTTTTTAAGATTAATTTTAAGGTTTTAGGGATAGCTTTAAGTTTACACCCAAGTTTTGACAACCCAATTCGTAAATTACTTACTCATGTAAAGGTGTCTCAGTAAGAAATTAGTACAATGAAGCAGTCAAAACCCAACTGTAATAAAGGACTACAGTTCTCATTTCCAGTTAAATGAGGTGTGTTGATTTTTATATTGGCTTGGACAACATGGCTCAGGTTTGCTTCTAGTTTTCACTCTCACACTTGAACTACTGCTACAAATGGCTTAGTTCTGATCTCACTGACTCATACCCAATTACCTACTAAGTACTTTGGTGAGACTGGTCAGTACAGACTAGGAGTAAGTATCACAGGGGGAAAAGAATAAAAAAGGAGGTCTTAGGGCCACCTAGCAGGAATTAGTTTACTGTAAACTCCAAGAAAGAGAATGCTTCTATTCCTTCCATAGGAAAGTAAATAATCAATGTATTAAGAGCATTATTTTTTCATCCTTATTAAAAAAACATAGCTTATATGCTCTGGAAATCTAAGAGCAAGCCACAACTTGGTTATACTATTTCACCCCTTAAATGAAAGGGTAATGATTTCTTTAAAACAGTCAGGGAATGTGATGATCCTTGAGTCTTGAAGGCTATGTTACATTTATAGCTCCTCGCATGATTAATATTCAAATAATTTTAAGTTAATAAATAATTGGATGTTGGAGTTCAACTGTTTAATAACTTCACCTCAAATCATTAACAGACCGCTGAAGCTAGAAAAACATCTCAAACAGGAAAAACTAAGAGATTCCTGTTCTATTTTTGTAGCACACTATCATAATAAGCAGGGTGGCCATGGCAAGATCATACATGCATGCTGGACTTCAGCAGAAGCATTTTGATAAACACAACAGGGTACACATGAGCTCACAACAGATTTCTCTGCTTTATAATGAGAAGGTAAATCCCTAATATTGTTTGCAAACAGCTGTTTCTGGACAACTTCAAATCGTTAACTCCAAACCCAAAAATTCTGCTTGGACTTTCTGAGCCCAGCTACTGAAATGCAAAGGTAGAGCCTCAATTGACAATATCTGAGGTTAATATAAAAGAAGTGATCAATTCTCTCCTTTGTAATTGCAAACACTACCAGAAGGATTGCATGACAACAGCAACAAATCAAGGAATTTAAAGCAATTTGATTTACCCTGCAAAGAGCCTCCCATTCTTTACCAAGATTACTTTCTGTCATCACACCAATGTGCCAGCAGCAATACTTGTATGCCAGGACATGTTTTGCAGACACAACTGATAAGTATGGAATACAGAAACTAGAAAACAGACAATTAGCTGAGATAATTAAATATGCAATGCCCACATACACTACAATGCCTTAGAAGCTATCACAGGCCATAATCCCTTACACGCAGACCAATTTGTGAATTTTGGGGGGCCACAAGTTTTTAGGGAATAGAGAAGAACCAGAGCTGATGCTCTGAGTAGCACATATGCTAAAGGCTATGGTTTTTGACATCATCTGAAGACCTGGAACTTCTCAGGTACTGACCTTTGCCTGCACAGAAAGCTTGCAGATATCACTGTCTTTGTCCTTGTGAGCCACTGTTAGAGGGGCAAGTCTTACCTAAGCATCTGAAACACCATTAGTCATGCATCATGGCTTAGCATTGATCAAACACACCCATTAGGTCACCCGTTTGATATTATAGAACGTTATAAAGCCATACAAGGATTATCATTGCCTGGAGCTACAGAATAGTGTAAAGGGCAGAACCAGAAGGAACTGCCCTGTCTCAGTCATACAATTTCTCACTCCCATTAGAGCTCAATTGGGAGTAAAATCACAACCTCACCACACCCAGCCAATTTACACAGCACTTACAAGCCCTAACTCCTCCACACTCAAGGTTTGCACACTCAGATTTTCTTCAAATCTGAAGTTTTCCATAAGCCATCACTTCCTCAGATTTCTTTCTACATGTCACTCTCTATCTCTGCTCTTCTATCTTCAAGATACAAAACCCCTAGTTTGCCTTTCTTTTGATAGTTACAATCAAGAGCTCTCACATTCTCACCAAAAAACATCCTTTATCTTTCCTCCTATTTGTAATATAGGATCGTTTTATGCTCAGGTCACTCCTCTGTAATGGTCAGTTGAGGGTCATGTGACTGTAGCACTTGACTACAATTTCTTTAATTACTTAAGGCAGTTGAGTCACAATGTGGACTGTCTCCTATTTTCTATTCTTTTTAAAAATAGCAGTCTAGTACTCTCCACAATCAAATGGTCATACTAGTTCTAAACTAGAGATATGGGGAAGCTTCAGATCTAAATTCTGACTCAAAGCTGCTACCATCATTTCTGTGAAGGTGTACCCACTTGCTGCAGTTCAAACTACCCTTGCAAAACCACCAGTAATTTTTTCTGTTACTTCTACACTTGCCTTTTGATTGTGCACAAATGGGAAGATTTGATTTGCAAAGTATTGTATGACTACTTGAGAGGGGAGAATTATTCTGCCCAGATTTTCTTCATTCTCCTCATCCTTGAATGTTCCAAATCATAAAGCAATCTTCAGCAATAACCCTAATTCCGATGTATTTTGCATCACAGACATATATATATAAAAGAGTCTATGTTATCTCCACAAACTCAGCAAAGAAACGGGAAATGTCTTGGATTTACTGAAGATCAGTCCTAGAGTCACATGGTAAATACATAAACCTTATACAAAAGAGGCTATCGGTAATCAGCCTGTGTTTAATTTCTAATGAACACAATGCAAATCAGAGATTATTTCTTGATTTTGCTGCAGTATACTGCACTGTGTAATGACATGATTAAGTATCTCGAGCGTATGGTCTGTAGCACTGTCCTAAGCCCCGTTGAATGTTCCTGCATGTTACTGAATTCAAGGGGATCCAGGAGGCTGCTTACTGTCATGCTGTCAGTGTACGCTGCCCTACCAGTCAGACTCTCAAAGATACTATCTTTTTTTCCTCAGAATTTAATCTTCTGAAAATTTACCCAGTTCCAGGTCCTGAAATGCTCTGAGCATGTGCAATTTCTGGAGAAGAGCTTGGCAGCAATTTTTTTTTTGTGTATAAACTGCAAGATACATTTGAAAAAAAAGTCTGAACTGCACTTGAGGAGTGTCACTATTATATAGTGTACTACCAAAATGCCTTTAAAGATCTCTTCCAACCTAAACCATTCTATAATTCTATGAATACACTACTACATTAAGATAAATATTCCTGCTTCATACTTCATGCTGAGTCATAATTATGAAGCAAAAACCTTCTAATGTTAAATTAGCATAATGCTAGGCTGGTTATGAGCTAAAAAGCACTCATGTAAATACCTTGCTATTGTCTGCGTAAACACTTTAGTGGTTAAAAAGAGTAGCCCAGATTTCCAGATGGCATTCTTTTCACACTTGCCAAGAGAACATACATTTTTTTCACACAATACTCTGCTTTGGGGCACCAAATGGAAGTCACGTTAAGAAAGAATTATAACCTATGCTAGCCAGTGTTGCTAGAATTTACAGACTTCAAGAAAATGGTAAAGACAAGAGAGGATGTGGAAACAAGATTAAACAATTTTAGTAAAGCATGCGTGATACAAAGCTATGTGAGACCTCCACCATATTTTACATTACTTCAATTTACTGGACCAAGTTTCTTGATGGCATAAAATTATAAAACTCCACCAATCCTGAAGGAAAATAACCTTTTAGTGTACATAGCATCATTAGAAGACCTGGGAGACTGAACCACAAGTCATCTAGGAAGAGATCAGCTGTAATGTGTGCTCACATCAGGTGGCCAGATGAGCAGTATGAAGAGCACATTTGCACTGATGCTACCTCATTTATTCTAACATCCACTCTACAAGAAAATCAGAGTTCCTTAAAGAGCCATTGCACACCAGAGCTTCTCCTGTACAGACGAGGACATGGTTTGTCACTGCAACAAAGCACACTGAAATAAGTTGCAGTTATCCTTACATATGTAACTCTTTGTACAATAAAAGTGCTCAGGTTGAAAAGGAATAGCATGAGAAACAGTACTCTTGGTTTTGCTCTGTGATTATGAAGTGAGGAATCAGAAGCCGGTGGGCATGGGGTGAATGCACAGCAATTGCAGCCTGCCTCTGTGCCTGAGCAGCCCACGCTCCTTTGCTCACAGTCTCTGCGCAGTGCAGACATTCTTTACATTGTGTCCCAGTGGCTCTGAGTGACGGACAGTTCTTCATTGTATGCTGCTAAGCACAAATAACTTGAGTGATACATCAAACTGCTAGGAAGCTAGCAGTTCTAAGATTTAAAAACATTTCCATAATGGATATTGACTGCATAAGCAAGTAACATCCCTGCAGCACATCATAAAAATTCTTCAGAGAGAGAACTAACTTTTTAATTTTTGTACTACATTAGATATCTAAGCAGACAGTAGAGCAGGCGTTCTATAAGCATCGGTGGCATTTATTTATTAATTTGCTCTTGAAAATCTCACATGAGCACAGAGAGCACTGCAAAAGAGAAAGTGCAAAGCAAAACAGATTAGGCTGACTCAGTGAGGTTCTGCCTTGGGTTTGGCAGTTTGAAGAGACCTCCATGGCTCCTCACTTCTCTCTAAGAAAGTTCACCCTCTGACACTGAGACACTCCTCAACTCTGCTCAATCATCTTGCTGAAAATCACCCCACAGACCCTGCAACTGCTTGCTCCAGATCGCTGCTGTCCTTCCATGATGGTGCTTTTCTATTACAGTACCAAATAACCCCTTTGGGCGTTCAGTTGTCTAGCATATTTTACCAAAAGTAAACACATTTATATACTTACCGTGTCATATTCATATTCTTCTCCTGAACACCAGATTGTAAGGATCACGTTTTTCTTCTCATTCAGATAGCCAAGGCCCAAACCCTTCTGAGTAGGATCCTAGAGCACAGTGAGCACTGCGTGCTATGGGAGGCAGTTATGTGTCAGCTTGACGGCAGAGGCGGTGGAATTTCAGTGGTGCTAGATGAAACAATAGTGTCTCCAACTCTGAATGGCTAAACCTTCTCTCAGTGCTTGGCTAACACATTTACAACCTACACTAGGTTTCATGGGAATTAACAAGGCTAAAATTTGATCTCATAATTGAGGACATCTGAATGTCTTTCTGGTCTAGAAGTGCTTTAGAAAAACAAAGCCAGATGAGAATGGAGGCATATGGAACATGGTGTAGAAAATCACTATCTGATTTGGAATATGAGCTCTGCCTGACCCTGTGTAAGGCAACATAAACAAGTCAATAGCTGTTTAGGAGATGCTGAAATTCTGGAAAGATTCTTCCCTGCATGGTTGTTCAAAGGGTGTGTCTGAGTTTGGAATTTGATCTGTCTGAAACTGTCATTCTCAGAACTGCAGGTGATACCTTGCTTCTAGCCAGTACACATGTCCTTACAAGCGAAGAATCTGAACAAGCTGCCCACTGGAAATGCAGATTCAGCCTCTGGGATAAAGTTGTCCCAGCTTCAACAATGCATGCTGCGCTGGGGAAATGTGCCATGCTTGCAGACAGCAATCCTTGCCACAGGAAACCGTGGGCTGCTGGATGATGGAAGCAGTCAGCAATGAGAGGCTGGTCAATCATCTAAAAAGCTGTAGATAAATAGGAGTGTCTTTAGGACATTCTGTAGAATCATAGAATCCTAGAAAGGTTTGGGTTAGAAGGGAAGTGTTCCAGGCCAGGTTGGACGGGGCTTTGAGCAACCTGATCTGGTGGAAGGTGTCCCTGCCCATGGCAGGGGGGGTGGAACTAGATAATCTTTAAGGTCCTTTCCAACCCAAACCATTCTAGGATTCTATGACTCTAAGTTGGATGGTATGCTCACCTAGGTCTGTGCGGAGAACACAGGCTCTAACAGGTGTAGGAATAGAAGCAATTTCAGGAGCCAAATGTTATGCAAAAGTTATTGCAGAAACAGGAATTGCACCTGAGCAGTAAATGTCTAGCTGTTACTGGAAGCATATGGACAGGAGCTGAGTGCAGCAATAAATTTCGGAATTTCAGACACCATTAAGGAACATCTAGTGAAATACCCTGAAATAGATGACTCACAAATCAACAACCATTTTTACAAGATGGATGTGCATGTTTAAGCCTGGCATCACTCTCTTGAAATACAGATTTGCACTTAAATGACAATGTTTTTTCAAGAGGGACAGTCCTTTGTCTCTACTGTTCCCAGACAGTTGCCTTTATTACCTGAAATTTCATCAAAGGTGACATTCTTCTGGGGTTGGATCCTTCTACTGCCTCTTCTCTCTACCAATGAGTGAGGCCCTGTCAGATGCAGCATATACTTTTTCCCAGCATAACAGACTTCATACAGCAATGACACGTGCCTAACTCCATGCTGCAAAATGAAAAGTAACATCTCTTTTAGTGTCTGTGCTCTGAGGGCACCAATTCACCTTAATGATCCCAATTTGCCTCACCTGAAACTTCTCCACCCCCTGACTACCACCCATGGGCCATGACCCTATTTAAGCTCAGCCTGGAGAAATTGCTCTCTCTTTTAAGCTGTGTTGGGAGAGAGGTCTTTGTCTCAGTGGTAGATAGTGTTGTGCTTGGCTACAGACCCTGTTGAGCCTAGTCTGCAGAACAGATTGCTTTCGTGTCACTTTAGACTTGATGTGTGATCATTGGATGACCTGGTTGTGATTTGAGGATTGATTTATTGACTTTAGAAGGGTCCTGTACCATAGCTGTGATCTTGTCTGGTACTTGGACTCTTGGTTCCATGTGGCTGCTCTCTCTGATTCGGCTCAGCTTGCCTTGTTAAGGTACCAGAGGAGGTTTTTGGCAGGTGGGATGACTGAGGGGTGTGCTAAGCAGTTAAACTGCTGCCCGGGAAATAGTGGGGTAAGGTGCCTGCCAGTGCTACCTGAGCTTCTGCTGCAGAGAGCCTGCAGCTCAACATGGTGAGCTTGCACTGGCCCCTGCTGGCTTCTGCAACAAGTTGTGCACTAGAGACCTATGTGAGCCATGGCTCCTCTTGCTCTGCTCCACCTCCTGAGGTGCCTGAGGCTGCTGTCCTACACACTGTATCACAAAATAAATCTAGTCGAGTATCTTCGTTTAAACTGGCTTTGCTTTTCTTATTTTCCTACAAAAATCAAACATAATGGCAAATGTAGTCAAAAAGGACTGAGCTAAGACACTCAAATCCTCATGTTTGTATTCTATGGCCCAGTTGCATGTGTCACTGCAGCACTTAAATTTTAGAAGCTCTCAGTGCCACTGTGGAGTACAAATAATTTTAATCATATGCTGTTAAAATATTTTCAGGAGTGGAGTAATTTTTTTAATTAATGCAGTTTATGTTCAAATACTGATGTTTATAACTAAAGTTTCATAACTTTAAATTGGTCTTGTAAAAATGTATAATTTTATACTTAATTTACTACCTGAAAGAAAACCAAAATAGCTCTTGGATTTTATCAGAAGTTCCTGTGAATGGAAAAATCACGTCTGCCAAGTCTCACTTAGCTTGTCTATCTTGATCTCTCTTGATTTTCCTTAGCTCTGTTTTCCACCGAGTCTGTTTCCAGAAAACTTGTTATTGCAAGCCTTTCCTGGTACATAAATTGAGTAAATGCTGTTGCATTCAAAAGTTCGATGTAAGATAATATACTCATAAAAGTTATTTCATATGCCAACCAGTTATCTTACAATGGGTTTGTTCCTTTGTATTTCACCTTTTTGTGACTGTTTAGACTATAAATGCTTGCGATTATATATATTTTTAGCCTTCGTCCTGGTCTCTAAAGAACTGAAAAAAATCACTGTTCCAACATAAACACTAAGAATTATATCTAATTGAGGTCAGCAACACTGTAATATAGGAAGACAGCTATGAACTCTTGGGTAGTGCCTGCCCTGTAACTCCAGGATGCAGTGGAGTGGAAGTACCACAGGGTGGTGTAGCCCCAAGGACGTATCTATATGGCTGACAATTCATTTTGACAAAAGCTTGTATTTAACTTCGCGAAGCTGAAATATTATCTACTCTCCCACTGGTGAAGGGAGTGTCAGAGTTTGTATATTGAGTTACCACTTGTGAGAATACCCTATTGACTCTGGAGTGCAGAAAAAATAACTGTTAATTTTATGCTGGAATGATGTTTTAAGGGCCCATGTAATTAAACAGTGTTAAGGAGGCTATTTGAATGGAAGGTAGTTTCCAAGGTTTAAGGAATGGTCAAATGGAGAACACATGAAGTGAAATACAGGCTCTAGCATGCTATATGTGGAGATATACCAGCAGATGCCAAACCTCTCATTTACACCTGCCTTGGTACCAGACTTGAAAACGGCCTAGTTTTAAAGGTAAGTCTTCTGAAAGTCTGCAAAACTACAGACCAGTAAGCTGATGCTTTCAGCAGGACAATTAGTAGAAAAGAGAACAAAGAATTGAGTCAGTGAACACAGGACTACCCTTGAAATATTGGGGAAAGTTAAACAGCTTTTGCTGGTGAAAGCCATGCCTCAGGACCTGCTAGGATTCCTGCAGGCAGGTGGGGGGGACTCATGTGGTAGGGATACTTTGGCTCCAGGGAGGAAATCAACTATGTCCATCACATTAAAAAAGGGGAGGAGAAATGTCTCATGTAGAAGAATAAAAGGTTAGAAACAGAAGGCAGGACTAAATAATGGTCAGTTTTCTTACTGAAGAGTACCACAGAGCTGCTCTTGGACCTGTGTTTTTAAGGCGAATCAGGAAGGGAAAAACTTCCATCTTGAGAGCTGTGTTATGCACAAAGAGGAAACGGTTCTCCTTGTCCTTTAAAACTCTTCACATAAAATGTAAGTATGGTACAGTATCTTTCAATCAAGTCTCCCATCAGTGACCTTTTGATCATATCTAATAATACTAATAGGCAATTACAGCTTGGGGTAACTGTGGGGAACAACTTAATTCACAACACAGCGGTAGCTTCCAGGTGAGAGCAAGATATTCTTGTACATAAGTAATGGTCAGGTGGAATGAATTCGCTGTGCATGAAAAGCGCAGAGCGCTAGGCATACAGATTTTGGATTTGGTGCTGAACTGTCTTAATACCACAAAGAGCAAGCTCTGAACGCTGTGACAAGAGGCTGCTGTATCAGACTTGGCCTCCAGGTGGAACTGTGGACCTGCCTGGACCCACAGAGAGGCTGAAAAGCAGTCACCAAAAGGGCTACCCGTCTTTCTCCTGCTGCATAAATGCCTGCAGTCACTGCAGCATCAGCTCTGGGAATTGCTTACCCTATTTTTATTTAACAGAAGAGGCGGTGGGGGATGAACCTCAGAGTGGGTGCCTAAAGGATGTTTCATGCATAGGTACTGTCGCCTTACCGGTATTTTATATACCTCCTGGCTAAAAGATACATGGGGAAAAACTTGACTTCATAATTAGACTACCTTAAGAAGCACTGTAATTACATTTTATTTTACTGGTGACCTGGGGCAGAAAAGAGGGAGGGAAGGGATGGACTTAAACACATCTGTCTTTCATACACTCCTCACAGTACACCAGTAACTGTACTGAATAACCATACTTAGCGTTTCCCTACCAAAGTGGTGCCCATGTTGGGTCTGAGGCTGCAGGAGCAGATGTGAAACTGAAAATGAGCCTGTCCTCACAGATATCAGTAGATCTTCCTGGACAAGAAATAAGAGCAGAAAAAGGGCAAGAGATGTCTGGTTTTGGTTATAAGCTCGACAATGGTTCAATGACAGAAAAGATAACTGGTCCTGGATAAAGAAGCTGAAATGATACTACAGTCTCTTGCTTTCTTGAAGTTGTCAGTGAAGCACTTGCAAAGAGAAATCCCAGTATTTCTAGCAGAGCCAAATATTATTAAAGGAAAAAATCTGGACCAAACTAAGTCCTTAACAAACCAAGAAATGGGTATGGCCACTCAAGCTCATTCTAAGTGCTGCTTCTGCTATTGTTGT